TATGTATAAATAAATAAATTGAGATCTGACTCAATGGAACTGTAACTTGAAAACTCCATCATTTCCAGAACACATCACCTGGCTATCATGTCATGAGTTAAACCTATCACTAGGCATTAACATTCTCTAAGAAATAATATGATCTGACCACATAGCAAACAGTAGGAGAAAAGTGATAAAACCAAACAATTTTGTAAGAGAAAAGCATGAGTTAATGTCTGCTTGGTTGTCTTAAATTTTTAGCTTAATAGGCATAAGTAATTGTAGTTTTCAATTCTGGTTAGCATTCTTATTTCTGGTGACTTATGTCTATCAGAGACATCTAACCCCACATTTTTAACTTACCAATAGCATCTGATCCACTCCTGAGGGGGAAAAATATATATGGCTAAAATGTAATTTGTCATGAAAAACCACTTAATTACTACCAGGAGTCAACACACTGTTTTCCAAATACTACAAATGGGTCTCTCTTAAGGCTCACACATTTGATTCTATGAATGATCGCTTTGGTTTTGCTGAAGGGAGGTGACTCCGGTGGGCTTCACTGCTGATATGAGGCTGCTGTTTAGAGATACTTTCCTGATACAGATGAGAAACTGTCTTAGTGATCCTGCCATCTTGACAGTGGACTGGAAGTTGGCACTTCTTTTCGTCTAGCTCCTTTACCTGTGCCCCATTGTGGACCCCTCCACCCAGGGTAGAACCAGAACAGGTCTTGGCCTGGCTACTATATCCTCCTGCTTGTTTGAGAGAGGGCTTCTCAGAGCTGGAGGACTGCAGGCCAGCTGCAGAAGACGTGTTGGTCAGTAGCCCCTCAGGCACCTGGCAGTGCCAGGGGCGGCTGGGAGGATGGCCCTGCTGCTGGAACCTGGCCGTCTTATCCATGATGCCCATGAATGGGGTATTGCGCGGTCTGTGCTCAGCTGTGCCACTCTGAATCTGGCTGCCAACCTTGTCTTTAATTCGAGCATCTGGTCCTTGGACCTTGAAGCCATCTGAAAAACTGCTGCTTGAAGCCAGACTACTGGTGGAACTTGACATCTTGATGCTGCTCGATGGAGAAGTGGAAGAGCCCGAGCCAGTGAGGGAAGCTGGGTGGCGCATGTCGCTGCAGCTCACCAGCCCCGCTGGGTTTAGAGGGCCTACATCCACAGCCACAGCGGCATGAGGTAGAAGCCTCTCTGCCGTCTTGACCTTGCCTGGTAAGGGATGCGCGGCATCGCTCTCACTGTGCTGCAGCTGGGCACTGTGGCTGGGGCCCAGCCGATCTGCAAAGTGGCCAGCAGCAGCTCCTGCTCCCTCCAGATGCTGGCTTCTGCTTCCAGCAGCGGGGGCGGCCGGGAGTCTGCCTGGCATGGGACTCGGAGGGGGATGCTGAGGCGAGACCTGAACTTTGGAGCTACTGTGTCTCACGCCCTGCTGTCCAGAACCCAGGTGCTGGCTGGTTTTCACGATCTGCGCCTGCTTGGTGGGCTGCACCACCAGCCCCGGCTGTGCCACAGGCTCCCGCAGGGGCTTGCTGCCTCCCAGCCGATGCTGTGGGGACACTGGCCTGATTTTGGACTGCAGCCCTTCTTGAAGGTTTCGGATGTATGGGGAGGGGGCAGATGAGGATGGCTGGGGCCTGGGAGCGAGGGAAACGGATTCTTCTTGTGGAGAAGAGTCTTCCTCTTCTGCCTCCTCCAGGTGAATGAGGTCATTCAGACCAGGGGTGGGCGCGTCCTCTTCGTTGTCTGAGTCGGCAGGTGGGGCTGGCGGGGGGCCCTGCTGCTTCTGCTGCTGGGTCTTCTGGAGCTGCCTGCACTCCTCCTCCACGCGGGCCAGGAGCCTCCTGATCTCCTGGTTGGCGGGACAGAGTTTCACGGCTTCCCGCAAGTCGGCCAGAGCGGCCACAAACTGCCTTTATATGAAAACAGAAGATGCGATCACAAGCCAGGTAAGAACAAGCTCTGAACGTGACTGTTCCTAACAGAGCTCTGGAAAGACAAGAGAGGGCAGCTGAGTGGGTTCTGCACGCTCACTGTGGTGGACGGGACCCACTGAACCAGCTCAGAGTTCTCAGCTAAGTGGGAGAACTGAATTCTAACCCGGATCTGTGCAGCTCCAGGGCCCTGCTGTGTCTATAAAGACCCCCGGCTGGGAACGAGAGCCGGCACGGAGCAGGGGGCGTCAGAACCCTCTCAGTGTGACCTCCTCCAGCCCTCTCACCAGGCCAACCTGCAGCTCAAACCCTAGACGACACCCCCATCCCCACCTCTTCAAGCCTCTAGCTGGCTTCCTCAGGAACGGGACGTTACAGGGAACGTCAACTGCGGTGGGGGCAGGAATAGTTACTGAGATGTCCGGAGAAAATAAAAGTTAAGCCGCTGCTAACGATATCCACGGCTGTGCCTCTCAGGAGCTCCCAATTCAGTATTAAAAGGGATGGGAGGCACTGAGTGATGCTTATGACTCAGAAGCCCCTGAAGTCAACCAGCAGCTTTGATACTAGAGAAACAAACACCAGAAGGCTCCCCCCATCACGTATCTAACCCCACATGGTACCTGCTACTCCTCTTCGCTCTCGCCCTGGCGTAAAAGGCTTCATAGGACTTTGGTTTCAATTCGAGAGCCTTGGAAGCAAATTCTTCTGCCATGCCGAAGTCCTGGTAATAATATTTAAATACATGAGTCAGAAGCAGCACTGAAACATGATTACAGGCAACTTTTTATAGGAATTTTGTTCTAAAGGTTAGCAGCGAATTGAGACACAAGTGGAGAAAGAAGGGGACGGTAAGCTGGTTTTTGAAGTTAGGAGACACTTAACGCTCATTAATGTTCTTAGGAGAGGAATCCAACAGAGAAGCAAAAACTGGTGACTCAAGAGAGCGGTAGGGGATGGTGGTGGCAGCAGTGCACCAGGGGTGAAGGCAGAGGGGACCCCGCACACGAGAAGTGCCTGTCTCAGAGATGGGCAGGGACGCTGTGGCCACGGTAGCAGGAAGGCAGTCGGAGCATGTGGGCGCAGAAGCAGACAGGTCAACAGAGTTGGTGGTGGGAGGAAGAAGTTTAAATAAAAAAAAAAGGAAGAAATAAAGTGGTATTGAAATGACTCTAGTTACTAGTTACAAGTTAATTGTGAGTCAACTACTATTAATTACAAATTAACTGGTTCCTGGCATACCCTCTGAGCAAACCTAATAAATACCAAGCAGATTTTAACACATTTGTGTCCAACTTTACAATGACCTTTCCTTCTGAATCTGGGGAAGGGCCCCTCATGATGATGTTGGCACTGTGCAGCTGGGCAGGGGTCGAGGAGCCATCTGCATCTGCAGAGAAACTGTCCCCAAGTGCATTCTCTCAAAGCCTTGAGGTGGGTGGTGACAGTGATCTAAGGACAGTCCCAGACAAGCAGCTCCCCGTGTGCCAGATTCACAGAAAAGTGCAAACACACCAGATGGGAGGTCCTGTATTTGGTCTGTGCAAGGGCAGGCCCTCACCACCATGAAGACATTCTACTGCTCAAGGACTGGACTGAGGGGCCACCACTTACATTTGTTTTCCTTCGGCAGCGAGACAGATTGAGATAGAGGGAAACTCTCAGCTCACTGAATGGTTTCATGTCCTCTCCGAATCCTTCCCGAGGAAACTTCCTTAAGGCGTACTGGTACCTCTGGGCTGCCTCCTTCATCTTCCCCTTCTAGGATTCAAAAATCAGACAAATCTGTGCTTTCCCAGAGATGAATAAGGATCTTGCTGAACGAGGGCTGTGGCTAGAACCAGTACACTGACCGGCATGGACACCAGTGTGGACACCTGTTGGCCTCGCTGTCCGCACAGGCGTCTGCAACCCGAACTTCACACAGTAAGAGAGAAGCCGGGTTTACAGGAAGGGATCTGTAAACGGCCAAATTGATAATCATCGATCTTAATACATCAGAGTATCTCCTCTGTTGTGTATTTTTGACAACCATTTCATGAATGATCTCTCATCTAAAGATACTTTAATGCATTTAAGTGTAATGGAAATCAGATGGGAAAACGATGCAGTTCCTAAGGCAAGCTGAGTCTTGTGGATAGATCTAGAGCTGGCTGGAGAATAATCATCTGGCTTTTACGAGGAACTAAAGCACCAGCTTTAAAACTCAGAACAGCCCCGCATGTCATTTTCAAGGCTAAAGAAACCCATTTGCTCCATCAGTTCCATCGCACAGCAGGTATAAAGTCAGCCGAAAATGGCTTGATATTTCTAACATAATTGCCTACCCAAGTTCATATTAAAACCACTTCAAAGCCACAACAATACACACTCTGAACTCAATTTCAAACTGATTCCAAGTCAGGAACCCTGCTGGGTCTTGCTATATGCCTATTTATTTGTTATTATTAAAAAAAGAAAAGGAAAAACTAAAACACAGCAAGTGCAGCAGCTTCATGGCAAAAAGAATTAAAATGGCCAAAATGTATTTTTTTGTTTTTTTGTAATCTTTAATTCTGTCTAATCACAGACCTGGAAAGAATAATGATCTATGCAAATGGCCTAGGCATCTACTTACCTAAACCAGGGGTTGGCAAACTATGGCTTCTGGGCTGAACCCAGCCTGCCACCAGTTTTCATAAATAGTCTGATGGGGACACGGCCTTGCTTATCTGTTTGTGTGTTATCTGTGGCTGCCTCTGTGTCACAACAGCAAAGCTGGGCAGCTGTGACAGAGACCACAGAGCAAAGCCCAACATATTTGCTACCTGGCCCTGGACAGAGAAAGTTTGCTGACTTCTGACCAAACTGGATGTCTTATTTTGAAATTTTTACTTCAAAGTCAAACTTATTGATCTTTAAATTATATTTCCATTTCTAAGGGTAAGTGGGAAAAAAATTAATTCCATCTCCTGAGTGAGTATTATATATTACTTGATTATTTTAACTAAAAATATGTCTAGAAACAGTCTGAAAGTTCAGAAGCATACAGATATTAAAAATAAGATAATCAAGGCTTGGCAGACTTTATTATTTTCTTCTGAAAATGTCTCCTGAATGTTCCTTTCCCATGTCTCAGGATTCCAGGATCCAAGGACTTTCCTATAGGATGTGCCAGTTAAACCAGAAGCAACTCTCCCTTCACACCAAGGCTTCAGGCCCTAAGTCATAGTTACAGTGCCAGGATTCGTTCAGAAATGATGGTTCTCAAAATGGCACAAAGAGAATGGCTCTGTACCTTGAAAGTTCTGCTGTTAAAATACCAAAGCCTGGGCACAAGGCCAGGCTGGCACCTCCTAGAACTTCTCTTAGCCAAACATCACAGTGACATCCATGAGACACCAAACTAAGGGGCTGCTTATAGGCCGTTACAGCACAGAAAGGGCAGTACCACTTACTTTGTACATCACGTTTCCCTCCTCCATCAATTTCTGTAAAAGTATAATCAAAATGTCAGGCTTGGAGGTAGCCATCGCCCAGGCAGCATTTCCTGCAAAAGAAACATTCGTTCAGAGGCACGCCAGTGGTCCCGGAGGAAAAGGAGCTCAGTGCTTCTTGGCCCCACCACAGCCAAGGCCACAGACAGCAGAGGACCCAGCTGCAAGGGCCAGTGCTGGTGCGTCCTGCAGGCCCCCAGATGACAACGTAACAACGGAAACGGGGCCCTTAGAGGGGACCTGCACCCAGCACAGACTGTTACTCTGGCAGAAAAGTACTGGGACGAAAAGGCATCAGCACAGCCACGCGCCACCCCTCCCTTCTATGGACTTTGCTGCCAAATAGCGTCCTGGGTTTCCTGCAGCACCGGGCACGACGCGGGTGTGTTCTCAGCGTCTCCCGCACTCGCTGCGCATCCAGCGCCAAACCCGCCCTGAGACGCCGGCCTCCGCCCCACACTCCCAAACCGCTCTAGCCCCGCCTGTGTCCACTCCTCTCCGGCCGAGGGAGCGGCCGCCACCTCCTGTCTCAGCCTCCTCTGGACATGTGCAGGGAGCGGCGCTCGGGGACAGACTGCACAGTGACCTGGTGCTCATCATGACCTCAGGAAGCTATTCACCGCCTTCGGCCGGCTCCCTCCGCTGCACTGTGATGTATCAGTGCCTACCTCTAGCCCAGGTGAGGACTTAACACCTGAAACTGCTCACAACGGTTCCTAATGCCGTGAGCTGCTCAGTAGTGTCACCTTACCATCGTCATCACAGTCCCCTCCCCACGACTGCTGGTGGCCGAAGGGCTGACAGACTAAACCAGAACCGTCTGCCTGGTCCTCTTCCCCTGCCCTGAGCGATCTGCCATGTTCCAGCCGGCCGCACAGAGGGGCTCTCCCACCACCTCAGTACCCTCCAGTATCCCATCAACTTCTCCTCACTGAACCTGTGCTGACGCTGCCCGCTGTCTTCCCACTGACTAGCTGACCGCCGCCCCCAACCCCACAGCAGCTCTTGCACAACCACCAATACAACCATCTGTGAGCTTCCTCGCCCACCAGCCCCAGCCCCAGCCCCTCCCCGCTGAGCTCCCCGAACTGCTCCGCGCTACAGCTCCCAGGTGCCCACACCCCAGTGCTGGAGCAGGGCTGCCCCCTCAACAATGCCGCTGCCCACACGGGCAGTCACAACGTGAGCCTTTTAAACACTGAATTTGCTGTGATTTGCTGAGTCAGAGAGGGAGAAAAAAAATCTCCCAACACCTGACACCTTACTTCTTACCCTGGGAGCAGGAGTACCGTCCTCAACATACTCTAAACTCTGAAGCTAACCCCCCCTCACTGTTGCACTGAGGCATCCACTGACCCAATTTGGCTCCTTTTCTCAGCAGAGTGACCACTACCGATGTGTTTCGACAACCGATGGCTCTGTCCAAGGGCCGCATGCCGCTGTGGTCCACGTGCTCGATCACAGCCCCCTTCTCAACCAGATACAGCACCTGCGGAGGGGAGAGCACAAGCGCTGAGGGGCACGGGGGCGGGAGCCCTGCACACTGCCGATGCCACATCCCGCGGCAGGAGCAGGCAGTCTTAGCTTCACTCTGATCTTAGATGCCTCTGGCCTAATGGGATCTTGCAATCCATAGCTCCAACTTGCTCCACTGAAGTGATTTTGATACCAGCAGTGAGGGAGACAGGTGGGTGCCTCTGGCGAGGGACGTATGTCCATGCACCCACAGACCAGAGGCAGGTGCACGCACGCCATCATCTGTCTCTGTCTCACCCCCTCTCCCTGGCCACAGATACGAGACACAGCCATTCATCTCCAATTACTCAGAGGCAGACTTGTGCCATGGCTGCAGCCAGTGCATTCGCAGGTTACAACAACGAGCACTTTGGAAACACTCAGATCTACACAGCCCGGGTATAGAAGCCGAAAGATTAGCAACCTGGGATCAGCTGGACTGTATTACAACTCACTTTAAGGTTTAGAAAAGAGATTAAATATTGGGACTGTCAACGTGGCAAGTCTGAGACCACGGCACAAAGACTGACTTGAAGTGACAGAATAGCTGTCACTTGGATTAAACAGAGAACAGTAAGAAAAGCCATGCTGGCCACAGAAACTGCTCTACTCACATATATAAAAGTGACTTTTAAATGATCTATCCAGGAATTCCATTCATATGGGAATTGTAAGAAAATAAAACTACATATGTGTGTGTGTGCACAGTCATGTACGTTTAAGCTCTACAGGGTCTATTACAATCTTAACTCCAGTTCCGGAACAGACTGCATGCCAGAAAACTGGAGAAAAATGAAAGCCACCCAGCGCACACAGGGACACCACGGCTATGCCGGGCCAGCCTCAAACCTGTGGGGGTGGCTCGGTTCCCGGCCTGCCTGGTGCCGGTGGGAGCACAGCCACCTGCGGTACCTACGGTCTCTGCGTCGCCGTAGAAGGCGGCCAGGTCCAGGGGGCTGCGGCCGTTCTTGTCTGTCTGGTCGATCTCGGCTCCTTCCTCAGCCAGGAACTGGACCACGGCCCTGTGACCTTTCAGACAAGCCCAGCTTAGTGCCGACAGACCCTCTTTGTCCAGAGAAGAAAGGGCAGCACCTGGAAGAAAAGCCCAGCACAGACCATGACCTCGGAGAGCCGGCCCGAGGCAAACCCTTCCACACCTGCAAGTGCCCGGCCTGGACGGCAGGCAGCAGGCCTGTGAAACCTGAAGCCGCCGGGTACGTGGGAGCCACTGCCTATTCCCTCTCCTTGCGCACAGGTTAGAAAATGTCCATGACAAAAAGACTAAACAGGTTGAAAAAAAAATTGAATCAGAATGTCCTAAATGGGTCTGCCAAAGCTCTTTTCTTTTTCCATCCAAGGGAATCCCCTGCAGGGGCGGCCAGTGCTGCTACCTTTTGAGAGGAGAAACTCCACGGTGCTCAAGTGCCCTTCACAGGCAGCCACCATGAGGGGTGTCCGGCCCTGCTTGTCACTGAGGTTCACGTCACAGCCGCGGTCCAACAGCAACCTGACGATCTGAAAGGAACACTAGGAATTACATGTTCCCGACTGCCCCTTAAACCACGTGCTCTCTACCCAGGCAGGGCTTCCTACCGGTAACAGG